AGTTAACAATATCTAAAAATCAAAATCATCTCTTTTGTCACAGATTTTTTTTATAGTTTCTATGATATTGTTAATAATAGAAATGTTAAAAACTAAAAAAGATGAAGAGTTTGTTTTATTCATTTTTATTCAAGTTCACTTTGATATATTTATAGGATTTCATTTGATCTAAATTGATCAAAATAAGAATTATTCATGATAAGGATATCATCTGGCTAGTGGGAAATGTTAGTATAACTTCCTGCTGAGAGACTTGAGAATTAGGAGACTTAACACAAAATCCCTCTCGTAACAATATAAAAGTAAATCAGCTATCAGGTGCCACTAACATGACATTGGATTATAAAATTCAGGAAAAGAGAAGACCTTTTAAGAGCAATAAAACAAGACAAAGTTGATAATTCAGACTAGGTTTGGTAGGGTATGTTCATGAGAGACAGCATCTCCCACGCCTCTTAGTAGTATTCAGTCCTCAACTATAAAAAGTTTTGCAATCAATGATCCCAAATAACCTATAAATATAACACTGAAATTAGGAAAGGTACACCGCTTTACGGTTGCCACACAACACTTGAAACATGTTGTTGCAAGCTCGGTTTGATTGAGCCTATTCATGGACGGTACTGGAAAGAGCAAGCTACCGTCTACGCCCCCTAGCACTTATTACTATCAAGTATCCGCCAGTGAAAAGTTAAGCTATTGTCGTCCAAATGAAAGCTCTTTTTAATTCATCCCATGAAAACAAACTTGAAAAAAATACATCTCTAAATCATGTACAAGAGCTGTCAGTAGGACAGCGTGCTCGAATATTCTCAGTACTTGATAGTAAAAAATGTATAATATTGTAAAAAAAGCTTCATAAAGTGACCTGTCAACAGGTTAAGATTAGGAAGAAGTAATTCACAAATTGTAAATCGTAAAAGGGGCAAATTTCTGTCAAAATGCTTGATAGAGTTACCTCCTTCTGTGTACATGTTGAGGGCATGATGGTAAGCAAGATTGCAAAGTTTCAAAGCCATAGTTTTAAGCCGTATGTCAATGGACTTTGTAAATATTTCAGTTGGTAATTGGCTAATTTTCAAATAACTGAGCTAGAAATAAAACTAATATATATTTTCAATTCACTCACCATATTATTTTATTCATATTTCAGATCCAGTTTAGCAGGAAAGTATTTTACTGCAAAATGAATTCCCAACCCATTTCAAATGATCCACCAAATTAATTTTTACATTTATTTCAATGTATACACTGTATATTATACACGTTATCCAGAATAACAAAACTCTAAATATGATTCATTTGTAAATTATCATAAGATTAGCCAATGCCTTAGAACAAGAACTGCAAGTCGGATAGCACGCTCGAATATTCCAATTCAACAGCCTGCATAATGAAGGAATTCTCTTATTACACAAAGTAGTAAAATTCTTTAAAAAAAACATGTTAAAGGGAAGAAGCCCACAATATGATCTCGAAGGTGTGTTTAGTTTCAAGTGAATTACCTCCGAGAAATTCTTTAAATTAATAAAGGGATATATTTATTTTCAAATCAATGCTTGGGTTATGGGTTTTGAACAGTGACCTACAAGTATAATCCAAAACTCACATTTGAAGTCTAACAATGAATGTTTATGGCTAAGGAGAAACAAAAATGCAAACATAACTTTAATCAAAAGCTAGCACAAGGTCACCGCAAATACCGAAATACAGGTCTGTGAATTAGTTCCTTAATCTGTGCATAAAAAAGTAGAAAGAGATACTCGTATTTCAACATTTAGACACATATGCAGGGCATTATCTATGAAAAGCAAGATGTATCATTTCTAACCAATTCAAAATATTTAAATTTGGTAATATCACTTTAAAATATATAAATACAAAACAAAGAAGTATATTATTTACAGCTAAACCCCGTTCGTAATACAACACCCACTTTGTATATGGGTTTAGATTCATATAATACATACATGACATAGTTCACTTATTCTAAAAATGTATAAATACATTTTAAAGCTGTATTAAACGAAATCATGAATGTTATTTAGTTTAAACGATGCAAACTAGAAAAAATGTATTTAAGTAAAAATTTAAGGCATGAGTAGGTTAAAAATAATAGATTTCATGTAAAATTTCAATTGATTTACAAAACTTAAAACAGAAATAAACCAACATTTACATTCTAGAATATTTAGGGATAAGGCGGCCATCTTTGACGGGGTTTGGTCAAATAAATATCCGTTCCAGAAACTACAGACACAGACGAACATTTTGGTATATGAAGCTTGCAGTTAGTTACCCCTCTAAATAGGCTTGTAAAATAGGCTTATTTGCATTACTTTAAACCATTCTTTGATTGTTTAATCGTAACATAGCATAATTTTTAATCGTTCTTTACCAATAACAAAACACTTTTTATGATACAAACTGTTAAATCGTAGTTCGGCAATAAATATAACAATTATTTGATAAATAGATATTTATCAATAAATGAATATAGGCAGTTACAAAATGAAAGACATCGCTTCACCGCTTCATTTTGACTAGGCCGTTGATATGGAATTGAGTCGTTTCAAACGAAACGTATTTCAACACTGTTATATTGTCACTGATATATTGTTGATTTGATGAATCAATTTTGTTGTTGAACACAAGGATTCAATAATGTATAAATGAATGTAGAAACAAATGTTACCTTTAAAGCATTTACACTATTTATAACATTCATGCCATAGCCGTGATTTTCCTATGAATTGCTCTTCTTCACCTCACACTTTAAATAAACAAGCAAATGCGTCATGTACATTTGTAGAAACAAATGTAACATTTCAAGCATTTACAATATTTATAAACACAATAAAACTTTGATGGATAATTGCATTGCAAGCTGGAAAAAGACTTGTAATTATATCTTATACTTTAGCTTATCAGTAATAATTAATTTATGTGGTCAAGATGTTGTGTATTCCTTCATTCTCTATAGTAAATTGTAGAATTTATTTCAGCAGTGCTTGTGTTTGTTTACCCATTTTAGTCACCTGGCGGGCTTGTCAATACAGAGTATTAAACTGTTAAATAAAAAAGATTTTGTAATTATTTATACAAAATTACTATGATTTGCATTTTATCATCCGTCATATCTTTTGCTTACCATTCACAATGTACATGTACTCGTATGTCTTATCAGCAAAGTGTTACTAATAATATATTTCATAACTCTAGAACAGGGTGATACTGTTCATAATTAAACAAAAATAATGAAATAAAATAAGTCTCATAAGATATTTACAAAAATGGTTTAACAGTGTCGCTCAAATATCATTCATAATCTATTTATCATAATATAGCAACACAAGAATAATTAAAAATAAATGTGGTCTTATCTGTTCAATTATTGACTTTTTTCAGATTTTAAGGTCTTCTTCTATCATAGATATTCTATGAAACTGTTACAAATATAGTCGCCGTTTTCTACCAAAATTTAATACGAAACCACTTTCCTTTGCTTAAATTACAGAATTTGTCTGTGCAAAACTGGAAAGAATGCTCTTTCGTGTAGGGTTTGCATACAGAATACATGTGTCAGGTACCAGTACGAGTTGCATAACCGTATCAGTTATAATAAGCTCGCCCAAATGATATGATCATTCATTTTGCCACAACGATTCATTTTTCTCTTTCCTCCATGATGCATATAATGGTCTCATTGGCCTCCCTCGCATCAAAATAGTAAACATCACAAAAATCGACTTGCATGCATATTTAGTATCATTCAGTGAATTACTGAATTCAAAATTTTAAGGTCATCTTTTGGTAAACTTTAAGGACATGACGTGGTCCGTACTCTCAGTACATGAAAGGGCGGATCATTTTTAAGTCTAGAATGCATACAAACATACATGTAATTGAAATGGCTTGAGAACTTTATGTATTCACGCTGTATTAGATCGCAAATTGTTCAAGCATTCTGTTAATAGCATCACATACTTTTGTGTTACAGTACAATTGTTGCATTTAAAACCTTTGGAATACTTAAGGATAGAATATTGAACAATAAAATTCAACAGGATCCTAAACGGCAAGAAAATGTTTTTACCAAAGTGTCATGGAAACCTACAATTGCAGATATTAGGGAGCATATTGCATGTTTTAGAGTCATTGACAGTACCGGGTAAGCAATGTTGAGCTTAACTAAGATTGAGCTTAGGTTCGTTAGTGTTGTTTTAATTATAAGTATTTTTACGTGTTTACAAATTTTATATGGTTATCGGTTCTGTCTTCATCTACTAAGCTTTCATGCTGTCCTATAATATTCTTTCGTTTCCCGTTTTACCTAGTCATTTAATAACCAAAATTAAAATTATAGTTTCCGAGCATTTAATATGATATAAAATACATAAAATTTACCACCCAAAAGAAAATTAAAATTTGCGGACTCAGTTTTACTGACGTTGTTCGTGGATGGTTCAAGCACACTTGGGTCGTCCTTATTTTAAACTGAAATGTTGTTTTATTTATTGTAACATACTTATCTTTTATAAAAGAATGCATCGCAAAGTTGTTTCAAGATAACTTAATTATCGATTTTAAAGATAAACTTTGCTCATCTTTGAGTCAAATGTTCTATATCACAGAAATTGATGGAAATCCATTATATCCTTACTGAATGTTTTCAATTTGAGTAAAAATTCAAATTTTGTATTGGAAGCATGCATTTCTTATTAAAGGTCAAGTGATGTTGGTCTTGTCTTAAAAAAGACTGCCAGTTTCTTTTAAAGACAATATATAATTATTTATATTGTGATCACTAATAGTGTTTAGAGTTTAAAACATAACATGCATGTATCTACTTTAAATGAAGCCAAAGCATGTTTATTTCTTATTTACAAAGAGACTGAGTAGTGGTTTTCAATATTTTTTAAAGAAACATAGAATCAACAGAAACATAGAGACAGTAAAATCTCTGTGTTAAGCGACTTTTTTATTTGATTTTTAATTCCAGAGAAAATTCCATAGATGATAGATGTTTCTTGCTACATGTCCGACGTACGTAACAATTATATATTTTGTATTCATTGTAAAACATTCTATCATGATTTGTTTTATTACACGAGGAGTTTTCGAGAATGAATGTAAATTGATTCTTCATAGGTTTCAATAGTTTTAATGTTGTTCTCTCAAAGTATTTACTTGCGACAGTTTCAGTTTTCGTTCCAATATTTGAAGGCATTTTTATTGTCCTTTTATTTTTACTGTGAAGACACTGGACTATTGCAGAACCTAGGCATTTTCGTTGAACTAATTTGCGACCTGAAAGGTGATTTGTTTTAGTTTTTGAAACAAAACAAAGTCAAAAGGGGCCAGATCTGGTGAATGCTGAGGAATACGACTTTTTCTGATTCAGAAAGTCTCACACTATAGTCCCCTTGTGCGTTATTTAAGGCCGCCGACGGGCGGGGAGTCGAAGTCATGTTCATAAACATGTTATATATCTATCCGATAACCTTCATATCCTCCTGTTTTTCGCAATATTTAACATTATAATGATCCAGATGCATTCATATTTGACATTCCTCTTATGTAAAACTATCATCAGTAATCGTTTGAAATTGATACGGTTTTATATATTGTATCATTTAAATTAAGAAATGTACTAAATCAAAAGAAACTGTCGTTTTAGACATAGAATATTGTCTTCTTTATTAACAACGCGTTTTCCATTATTTTTTATTAGTATTCATATCTTAAACTGATGAAAGAAGAATGTCAAATGCCATTTTTATGTACATTGTATTTTCATCCTTTTCTAAAGATGACAACCACGAAAAGAACGTGTGTTTGAGACAAGAAGAACTCTTCTTAATTTACAAATTTATATTAATTCAAATTCACCCCAAAAAACTTTCAATATAAATGAATTCAAAGAAATCGTATTTGTTTTCTTTCTACAGCTGACGTTTACAATTACTCTTCTAATTCTGTAATGGTATGTATTATAACAGATATTATACTCACAAGCGATTTTCAATTTCAATTTAACCATTATAATTATGTAAGTCGAATTCTTCCATACTTGTTCTTTGGAATTATGATTTATCTCTGAAGAACTAAGTTGCAAAATTCAGTTAAAGTTATTTATATTTACCATTATAGGGGAAACCATATTTCGTAGATATACCTTCTCCACATCAGATGGTCAACTGCACAATTCATACTACATGTTTACTTCCTATATACATCGTTTCATCTGTGTGAGTATAATTATATCTCAATTATCTCAATTATTGAAGATAAGTTTGCACATTAATTTTTGGTCTTTTATTACCGAGTTATATACAGTAATTTTGTAAAAAGAAATATCAGTTATGATATGAATTTCGAAAGAATATATTGCTACGAGTTACATAAACAGAGAAGATAACACAGCAACAAATTTTACAAGTTTTAATTAAAGAAAAACAGTTATTTACAATAATACAAACAAAATATGAAAGTTTAACTTACAATTATTTACGATATAAATTTAACAAATAATTTAAAGTTTAACTTACAGCACGAAATTTATTTTTTTACAACGTACATTTAATTAATAGTTAATGTTTACAGCAGAATATTACAATATGTTTAAAATACATTTCACACAGAATAACAGAATTTAAACTTATATATCTTTATGTTAGCTTTACGATATTATAAGTCAAATAGCACACACTTAGTATATTAACATTATACAATATTACAAATTAGAACACACACTTTGAAGTAAACACATTTATTTGCTATTAATGAACAATTTAGAAGATAAAACTGCTTAGAGAAAGAAAATTTTAGAATGAAAATGAAAGCACTTTTTTGAAAAAAAATGAATGAAAATGAAAAATTATATAAACATTAAATAAATCAAATTATTAAAAATTAAATGACAAGAGTAGGTATTAAAATAGAAAAAATATGAATCCCTAATGAAAGACCAAAACGGCAAAATTAAAAAATGTTGCAGGCTCGGTTTGATTGAGCCTGTTTATGGACGGTACTGTAATGTGCAAAGCACGATCCACGCCCCTTAGCACCGAACTAAGCAGAACTCAACATTTCATCATAGTAATGGTGAAATTTTAATTTAGAAACATCCGCAGATGCGTTCATACGGCGGTAATCATGAAACCTTCAATGTGACACTTACGTGCCATTCCCTGAAAAGCGGCATATGGTCCCTTAGTAAAAGAATGCGTGTGCCCTAAACGTGAAAACAATGGGCGGAACTAAATAAACTGGAATTTTGAAAGGGGATTAGAGGTTATGAAGCCTGCATATCACAGATAAGACGTCAAAAAGATAATTAAAAAGCAGGCAACATATCCTAAGGGTGGTTTAGGAATACTGGAACCATTCAACTAGAAAATGCCAAAAAGTGAAAACTAAAAATTAAACCCACGACTTTGAGATCTTTACCCACTGAGATATTTAGGAAATAGATACTTAACACATTTATAATAAAGCCTATATACAGAACAATATCAAAAAAGATATAACAATTCATTGCAGAAAAGTGAATGACATACAGGTGACTGAAAGCTTCATTGATAAGTACCAGATCAGCAAGATCAAGAATGTTACACATAAAGGTCAGCCAGTTTACCAAGCAGAGCTTCAATTTAAATCTTTTGTGCTGGGAAACAAGAAAATTTGCTTGATAGCAAAAGATATCATTGGGTAATTTCTAGATGCATTTATTTCATTATGAATCATTTTATAACCGATACGACAGAATTGTAATTTTTTTTCTTAACCAGTTAACATTTACGTGTTAAATGTAAAGATGTTAAATAAAGATTAATAAATCCTCAGTTCCTGAAAATCCACAGTTAACTTGTGTATGGTTTTCATATTTACTATGTATTATGAACATTAAATATAGCAGAACATAGAACACATTATTATATTATATAATTTGATTGAACTAAAATAGAGTTATGAAATATCATTTTATTGTAACAGCAGTGATATGACCGAAGTTGACCTCAGGCTAGTTATAGATATTATAATTCAAAAAAGAAGTGGTTTGATAAAAAAACTATCAAAATAATATTGTTTCCAAATATTTGAATATATATTATCCTTCGTTTTTTGTCTGCAAACTCTATTTGATAAAACATACATCAATGACAGTCTATTGTCCGATTGCTTATATTTGATTTTGTAATTGACCTATCTATATATCAAAGTATACATCTGTTAACGTACATCAAAGCTCAATGAAAAACAATGCAAAGGTATACACCTCAGCATCTCAACACTCTTTTACCAACAAAATTGTACTTGCTAAATTGTTCATCTTTACAGAGCTGAAAGTGAAAAAGTTTGCATCACCAGCCATATAGACCCTACAGGTAATTATTTTATATTATTAAGAAAAAAGATTTGTCAAAATGAAATCGTACGAAAGCTTCGATCGGCTACTTGGCTGTAACTAGAACTTTGCAAAAAAATAATATTTCAGATTTTTGTGAAAAAGCCTAATAGAAAGGAGATGAAATTGATCCTTATTCATTGTATCTGTCACGTAGGTATATTAGAAAAAAGCTTTATAACTTAGTGTTGCAGTCTTCCCTTAAACGTGAGGGATTTCTACATTTTCATTGCTGAACTTTACATAAGTCCAATTGGTGAAGTTGTTTATTTGTTTGTTTGTTTTTTATTCTTACAATATCTCGAAAATATTTTTTTGTCAAATGAACAATTTTAAAGACAATTATGTACACGCTATAATTAATATTTTGATATCCTCGGATATTAAGCTACTAATAATTGTTGTGAATGTCCAGAAAAATATTTCTTAAATGTGTAGCAAAATTGATATTTAACAGATGCGTGCATGTCAGCACCGTGTAAAAACTACGCCACCTGCGTCACTGATAGTAGGACCGGGAATTTTAAATGCATTTGCCGACCTGGATCAACTGGCAAAATTTGCGAGATATGTAAGTATTAGCAAAAGGAACAATATCCGTGACATTGTGGCTGTAGCATTCCAAGCTGTAGAATAAACCAGCGGTTTTCTATGTATCTCGTAGTATCCTAGAAATAAAGCAATTTCTTACAATGTCGATGATTATCTAAAAATATCCAGCTTCGTAATAAAATACTTGTCACTCATCATATTTAATAAAATAATGTACTTATCATATTTCATCTTTCTTGCACCTTTTTTGTTAACATAAAACATATTTGTTTATGTGTACATACCTCCCGTATAAATTCAATCCTAAAATTGGTTTAAAATCTGGAAACAAACATTTCTCACTAACCAGATAGAAAAATCCTTAAAGTTTACTAAAAAAGCGGTGTTGGAAAATCTCATTTCACATAGGCTTATATTACACTTCACTTGCAGCACTTTTTTATGTTTTCTTACACATTCGCGATATTTACCTCTATTTTGACAACACACTTTGGCGCACTTTAAAATTTCGCGAAATTCTTCTTAAAATCGGATATTATGAAACTTTGCCTGGAAATCATCCATGTTTTCTTTAAAGATAACGATTCTTTTTGATGACAAATCTCATTTTAATCGAATATTTGGCAAAAAGAAAATGAATCAGTAGGAAATCTTCGCAAACGGTAAAACAATTTTTAATTGTTTGAAGTATGGACTGAATTCTTAATAAACACTAATATTATGACATTTTCCACTTTAAATATTGAAGGTTTAATCATGATCACCTTGCTTTTTTATCTTATCTGAATTTATTTTCATTGAACTTTAAGACACATAAACTGGATCAGTATATTTTGTGTGGACAGTAAAACGCTTTTTGTCAACCATAGAAAGTAAGGCGCCTAATCCCGCCCGCCTTTTAAACTATGTTGTAATGCACATAGGAAGTAGTTTCACTGATATTTACATTTTGTTTCTTGTGTGTCCCGGTGATTGAGAAAAATAATCAATCATTTGGTTAGATAGAGGATAGGACAATCGGTTTCCATCGGGAACCAAACATCCTCGGGTTGGGATTTCCCTATCCTCTATCTATCCCAATAATAGATTCTATTAATCTGTATGCTATCTATGCTATATTTACTACACTTTTGCCTTTTTTATTTTTTTGACACACATGTATATGATGTATAAAAAGGACGGCAAAAAGACGAGTGGCACAGTGTCATTAAAGTCTACTTCGTCGTTAGATTCAATTAAATAATGTTATATTTTGTTTAAATAAAATATTTTAGGTTTATACATTGAAAATGTCAATGAAATATATCTTCAGGGACAGACCCGTGTGTTCCAGATCCATGTGTACGTAATACTACGTATGCTTGTTTACATGGAGTATGTTATTGTAAACCTGGATTTACTGGAAGAACATGCGAAATAAGTGAGTTAAATAAATGAAATGAATAATATATTGTATAAAAGCAGTTAAAGATCCTGTATGTTGTACTTGAGGTTGTATACATCTTAAGGGAAATTATATATATTTATATGATAATGCTTATAAAACAATTTTCAAACATCGAAGAATATGTAAATATGTACTGAAAATATTTGTATAATTATATTATATGTAATCATTAAAATATATGCATTCATTTCTTATTGAAAAATTTGACTTAGACTTTATAGAAAATATTTGTTTATTATCTCCCTTTGTTAATATGAAATGTTAAATTCGGTTATATCTTTATAAAAAATGCTTTTTGGAACTTACAAAATTGATAAATCTTAATTCAAGCATCGAATTTATGATACAAATCTGGAAACAAAGTGATTTCTCGGAAGCATAAATCACAACAAAATTACTTGAAAATTGCAGACTCGGTTTGATTGATTCTGTACATGAGGAATAATGAATAAGTGCAATATCCCTCACGCCCTCTAGCACAGGCTTGAGCTGTACTCAATTCTCAACACTTAATTGTGCTGGCATCAATGATCCCGAATGAACAGAAAAACACAACAGCACTTAAGTGAAGTACGGGGCAACTTTTTACAGCTGCTACACGGCACTTGACACCTGCCGTTGTGACTACAAAACCATAAAAAAATTGTGTTATAGGATCTTATTTTTGTAGCATTCAATAGACTTATTAAAGTTAACAAGGAAAAGTCCCAAACTGGGTAAGCAGTTGTCTTATTGTTAGTGTACGTTCTTGTCGTTTCTTTTTTAGATAAGATTATAACCATGCAAATGATGATTTGATAATTCAGATATGAATGACTGCCCTCTAAGTGCTTGTAATGATCATGGAATGTGTAAAGACGGTGTTGGAAATTATACATGCGAATGTTTTGAACGTTTTGCTGGAGTTAACTGTACGATAGGTAGATTACTTATTATAACATTTGAATTGATATATGGAAGATGGTTTTAAACATCGTGCATACTAGTATTCGTCATATTAAGCATATTGAATAGTTATTTGTTATGTCTTGCCGGTGACAATAAATAAGTATTTATAACTATTAATTAATATTTTGATTACATTCTTTTGTCTCCGTTAAAACACAGTTGTCTTTTCGATTGCACATTCCTAGATGAACATTAATCGTCGACTTCTAACTAAATTAATCTCTGTTTTATAATAATTGATTTTTTTTACCTCCATTTGTTTCATTTTTCTTTTGCATTTTTTTTCTCATGACCTTTTGGTTTAGTTTTTATTAATTGCAAAATAACCTTTTTTATGAAAATGTCTTTGATATATTTTTAGCTAAATGAATTTTGTACATGATAATGCCATGAACTGTATACATGTATATGTAAATTGTTTAAACTGGGGCAGGACACTCATAAGCTTTCATAGCTTTCTGCCCAATCCAGAATGTATTGTGTAAATATTGTTCATCAAAATGTAAATATATCGAATAAAATATGTTTAAACCAAATAAGTATTTAATTCAAATTTTCAAATGGAAAGTTTTGTAAAACGACCGACAAAAACATATGGAAATATGATAAATTTCTTTTAAACCAGCTGATTTAACATGTCATTTAGAAAATAAAAATCGTCTAAATTTTGGGTTGATTGTGTTGCTGTAGATAATAGCTCCGACTCAAGCAGAAGTCAACATCTATATTTACAATATGTCGTCCCACGCCAACAGTTCCGGCTTAAGCAGAATTTACAAATATCGTCCCACGCCCATAGTTCCGGCTTAAGCAGAATTTACAATATGTCGTCCCACGCCCATAGTTCCGGCTTAAGCAGAATTTACAATATGTCGTCCCTCGCCCATAGCTCCGGCTTAAGCAGAATTAACAATATGTCGTCCCACGCCCATAGCTCCAGCTTAAGCAGAATTTACAATATGTCGTTCCACGCCCATAGTTCCGGCTTAAGCAGAATTTACAATATGTCGTTACACACCAACAGCTCCAGCTTCAGCAGAATTTAACATTTATATTAACAATATGTCGTCCCTCGCCCATAGCTCCGGCTCAAGCAGAATATAACATTTATATTAACAATATGTCGTCACACAACAATAGCTCCAGCTTGAGCAGCATTCAACATTTATATTAACGATATGTCGTCACACACCCATAGCTCCAGCTTTAGCAGAATTTCACATTTATATTAACAAAATGTTGTCCCTCGCCCATAGCTCCGGCTCAAGCAGAATTTAACATTTACATTAACAATATCTCGTCACACACGCATAGCTCCAGCTTAAGCAGAATTCAACATTTATATTAACAATATGTCGTCACACATCCATAGCTCGGGTTTAAGCAGAATTCATTATTTATATTAACAATATGTCGTCCCTCGCCCATAGCTTCGGCTCAAGCTGAATTTAACATTTATATAAACAATATGTCGTCACACACAAATAGTTCCGGCTTAAGCAGAATTTACAATGTGTCGTCCCACGCCAATAGTTCCGGCTCAAGCAGAATTCAACATTTATATTAACAATATGTCGTCACACACATAGCTCTAGCTTAAGCAGAATTCAATATTTATATTAATAATATGTCGTCCCACGCCCATAGCTCCCGCTCAAGCAGAATTCAACATATATATTTACAATTTATCGTCGTACGCCCAAAGCTCGGGTTTAAGCAGAATTCAACATTTATATTAACAATATGTCGTCACATGCCCATATCTCCAGCTGAAGCAGAATTCAACATTTATATTAACAATATGTCGTTACACACCCATAGCTCCAGCTTAAGCAGAATTCAATATTTATATTAATAATATGTCGTCCCACGTCCATATCTTCCGCTCAAGCAGAATTCAACATTTATATTTACAATATATCGCCGTGCGACCATAGCTCTGGTTAAAACAGAATTCAACATTTATATTTACAATATATTGTCTCACGCCCTTAGATGAGGGTATAGCAGAATTCAACATATATATGGGAAATTATTGCAGGCTTTGTTGATTGTGCATGTCGGGATATAAGTGGTTTAAGCCAAAAAATGAATAATACTTTTTACATTTTATTTTTTTTTTTCAGATAAATGTCCAGCACAAAGACAAATGACTTGCCCAGAAGGTATATACGAAAAAATGTTGTTTTCTTTGGAAAGCATGTTGTACTGTTTAAGAGTAATGAAAATTCAGATTTAAAATTTGATTAACCATTTCTTATATATACATACATATATATATAAATAAAACAAAAAACACAGTCCATGAGTTAACTTATTTAATTAATTTAATTATTGCAAATAATTAAATTAATTAAATAAGTTAACTCATGGACTGTGTTTTTTTGTTTTATTTATATGTGACTTTTTTCCGGCACTTGTTTTCATTTTTTGTATATATATATATATATATATATATATATATATATATATATATATAAGATATAATTATATGTTACTTTTTTTAAAAATATTAAATATTTTTTGCAAATAATTAAATAATTAAATTAATTAAATAAGTTAACTCATGGACTGTGTTTTTTTGTTTTATTTATATGTGACTTTTTTCCGGCACTTGTTTTCATTTTTTTTGTATATATATATATTTATATATTTATGTATATTATATATATATATAAACAGGGGAAAGTATAACTGTATTGAATTTAATTATCTCCCTTTATATATACTTTATCTGTCTAAATTCATTGTATCCTACGGATCTACTTGATCTTACGTGATCCAGTTGACTTTCGGAAATAGATATATAGGTCTTAACTATACTTAATGTAAAAGATCACCCAAAAACAACCAGTCTACCATATTTTGAAATAAATGAATAAAAAACAACTCATAAATGCATTTGCCGGACGAGCATGTATTGTTTGACCACGTAGCTTTGTTAACATAACATGACAGAGGTAGGTTATAATATAATGACATTCAATAAAAGAAAAATATATATTTTACAAATTGTAATAATCCAGTATAAAGTCACTAGATCTAATGCAGACTTACGCTGCAACAATCGATTGCTAAAACCCCATGTGGTCTCTTGTAAATCAAATCAATATAATATAATATGCATAATACCATACGTCCTACGATTAATTATCATTTTTGTAAAATACAAATATGAATATACTTCTATCGCAAGAAATAAGTCGTGCTGAGCGCGAACAAGCCGGCCAGGAAAAAACAGAGATCTCTTTAGAATACTCTGAAAACCTGTGTACGTTACCATGCAAGATCGCTTAATGACGTACCTCATTTTCTTCAGCCTGGACATATGATATTATACAGAAAACAACCAAATTTTAAACTAACAGTAGAACATTGAATAGTGAAAATTCTCATGAATTATCAATACATCATCCCAGTCAAATATTAAAGTATACATCTAAAACGAAAATTTAATTTTGTACGTCTTTACTAAACGAGTGTGTCCGGTAGACTGATTCGCCTTTCGATAAACATCCCAAAAATAAAATACACCCACGATTTTCCCGTGCAATACATTTACACACTGAAATATACTTCTCACAAAAATGAACGCAACGTAAAGACAATATTTTCGCGCTATACTAGCGAAACGCGCGAAAATTTCAGTCTTAACTATACTTAATGTAAAAGTGCACCCAAAAACAACCAGTCTACCATATTTTGAAATAAATGAATAAAAAACAACTCATAAATGCATTTGCCGGACGAGCATGTAGACAATAAAAAGTTAGGGCTTGAGCATAGCCGATATAGTATAATAGAATATTAATTACAAACTCAATTTTTGAGACACCATAAGTCTGCTTGACAAAGAATCTGCCACATAACGGTCTTTACTAATGTCGGACTTCCACCGACCATGACGTTTCCAACATCTATCATTAACTCTGGAATTAGCAGCTGTGGTTGCCCCACCAGACCGTAGTGAATGTAGACCTATGTTCAAATCCCCCGTAAATGGACGCAATCTACTTATAATACATTCCCTAGCCCTTGAGTA